TGGAGGTGGAGGTGGAGGTGGAAGTGCAAGTGGAAGGAAGGAAAGAAGGAAGGAAGGAAGGAAGGGTTTGCAAGCCAGCGCCTGAAGGGCCGTGCGAGGGTGTTTCCTCGCCGACCTGCGTATGAGGCCTTGTATCGCAAGGAATGGGGGCGACTCGGTTTCGCAGTGGATTTTTGCCCTCTTGTGGTATGCTCTAGGTAAGTATTCCTGCGTGCTGCTGAGGATGAAGCAACTTCTCTTGTGGGCTTATCGCAGACTTTAAAAAAACAGTCCTGGTATGCATACAGTATATTTAATTTGCATATTGAAGATTAAAATGTAAATGGTTTATGAAGAAATAATCAAAGCTTTATTGCAAATGCAAAGACAACAAATTTACATTATTTTCCATGTAGGATGGTGGTTTACCTGTATAATATCACCATGTGTGTCTAGTAAGACTTGATTAGGTTCTAAGAGAAAGCAGTAACAATCCCAGAGTGAAATTAAAAAAAAGGGGTAAGTGAAAATAAAAGACTGGTGAGAATGACTGTGGTTATATTTTACCAGGAAACTTCACACCAGAATACTGGGTCATCAGTGTAATGTTAGAAGTAGATTTTATGCTTCTCTAGCAAAAGCACTGTATGGAAAAGAACTGCTTGGAGTTTGCTGACGTTTATTGTATCGTCAGTATGAAGAGCCAGAGTTTCAGTGGCACTGAACGTGCACTGGATTTTAATGTCAGGTGATCCAGAATTTTTTTGGTTTCTTTTCTTTATTTTTTTTTTCATAAACGTGAAATATAGATTATAAGTAATCCGCTTTTATATGTGAGAATCTGACACCTTACGACACTATGTGTAACAATTTGTTTGCTTTTCCATACATCTGTAAGTGAACTTACACTGTTGGATCAGCAGAACATGATGAAGAAGGGTATCTGGGGCTATTCTTCTCTAACAGTGTATTGCAGTTCCCACCTAACCACTTTTTGCATTAAGTGGTACAGACAAAAATAACATGTCTTGTTAAGGACAGTGGCACGCAGAGACAATGACTGAGTGAAATTGCATCCATTTTGATTTATCTTGTAAAATTACATTTTTTAACATTAAATCATAGTATTATTTAAAAAATCAAAGTGGTAATTAGTTTTTAGCTTGATTTATTTTGGAGAGGTTCTTAGATACAATGAATAGTTTCTTAGTTCCTTGAAGAATGGCTCCATAGCTTCTCTACATCCTGCATGGAGCTTCTATATATTCTGCACATACAAATTAAGTGGGTATTTTCAGGGTATATGAAGTTGTCTTTAATTTTATGGAAAGATAGGATTTGACCCATAATCTCTTCAAAGTTCTGGGCAGATATTGCTCATAAATGTTCTCATTTGAGATTTCAAATCTTCCAAAGTAAAAAGTACCCCCAAAGAAGTCTTCATTTCCAAATGTTGAGCATGAGTATGATCAGATACACTGCGTGAAGTATAACTAAAATGAAAATGTGTAAATAAAGTAGATCACACTATACATCAAGTTCCACATTTTTTGAAAGTGTTTTATGATGTACAAAGGAAAGCTGAAAAAGTCTACGTGATAGTTAACCTATTGTTAACCTTAAGGTGTGCTTTGTAATTGTACATCTTAACAATGTGTGATTGCATTTAACCTTTTTTTCCCAGATAAAATTTCCCAGGGCAAATATTCTATGCGTTGTCCCATTGCTGTGTCTTAGCAGTGCTTAAATTGAAACATCCTGTGCAGCTGGAAGGTTGGTTTAGCCTTTATTCTGTTTCGTTCAGTTTAATTCATGCATGGTAATACTTCTGTTCACTCTAAAGTGAACTGAAAATACTATTTTCTCACAAGTCACAAAACAGTCATTGGGTGATAACGTTACTGGTCATTCAACTCATGCAGCTACAACATCCCACAATAATACTTCATACATCTGCTGTGAGAAGTCTTCTTTTGGACCATTAACTGCAGTGTGTTTCATTGTTGAATAGATTCAAAACAAGAAATTAAACAGCTGATGAGCCCAGCTATCCCTCTTTATTTATACAGTGTACTCTAATGGTTCTTTCAGAGCTACTGTGACCTATCTAGGAATCCAGTCCAACAAATCTTTAATCTTGTCCTTACCTAAGTAGTCCCATGGCTCTTACTCAATAACTATTTCTGGGGGGAAGTTTGGGGGGCACTAGCAGTATGAAAAATGTGTTGTAATACATGCGTATTAGTACTACTGAAAAGCATTTCCGAAGCAATCGCTCTATATGGAGGATTTTAAAATCTGCTTCCTTTTCATTTCCTAAAGAGAATTATATTTAGTAAAGGCTCAGTTACGTGTTACAATATAATTCTGTACAACAACTACTTCTAAATAATATGTTCATAGAACAATTACAAATGACAAATATTTCATTTTCTACTTATGTAATTGTACTGCAGTTTAAGGTCTTCTATTTCAGAGCCACTCAGAATTTTCTGGGAGGTGAAGGTGGTGGTACCACAGAGGCCTCTGTGGACAGTTTTCTGGACAGTACTGTGCTGTTACCATCTAAGGCACCTTTATTGCTGCCTCTCCACGTACTGGGTATCGTACCACCTTCCTGGAGTTGTGGCCCAGGGTAGAGACTGAGTAAAAGCACCAGTAGAATTAGAAGAACAGTGAAGTAAGTGGGTGGTATAAATTAGGAATCACTTTTTCTGCCTTATTGGGTCTCCTTTATGCTAAAATTGTAACAGTGCTCTAGACTCATCAAAACTTTCCAGCTGTCTCTTAAATTTTTATGGGACTTTTAGGAAAAAAAAAAAAAAAATTGGCTAACACTGTCTTGAAGAAGACAGATTATTCGGGCCTATTGCAGAAGCACCCTCATAAGTTTCTGCTTCGCTCATAATCCTGCTAAACTTGTAGGGCCAAAACCAGAGATGGTACAGGCTACAGTAACAAACACTGCTCATTACATCTGTAGGATGACTTTGGCTAATAACATTTCCTCTGAAACTAGGCCACTGACTGCCGAATGTCTGCTGGTCTTGCTGCATATGTGCTGAAAAGGACATAAATAATTTTCATTTCTTACCTCACACAGAGCTTGCCCATACGCTGCTGAAGCATTTAGTGAACACAGTGATTTGAGTCTGCTGTGTAAATTAAGAGTACTTTGAATAGAGTTTTACAACAGCAAAACTGATTTTATAAGAATACCAAATGAAAGTAGAATTTACTCCACAAAACATCTGTTTTTCATTGGTCTTTAGATGAAAATGAAGTAAAAAGAGCATGGAAAATTATTTGGGCCAAAGATATTAAACTCATAGGCTTAAGCTGAGTTATAATTCCTTATTTAAATATCTAAATGAGTGGCCTAATCAGCAAACATGTTGAATATCAGCTTATTCTAGCAACTTTCTTTACTGAGTGTTCTGCACACTTCAGTGATAAAACTAGTGATTTGGGTACATAAAATACGGTTTTAGGCACTTCTGAAAATACTTGACCCTTACAATACTATTTTTGTGAAGAGGTCTTTTCAAATAAAAAATAAGGAATTTTTGTATATCCTGACATGTTCTTAAAACACTTTTAATTCCTTTTCTAAAACAGTTACTGTTTTTTTCAAAGAGCTTTTCACAAGAATAGAGTTACACAACCTAGTGGTATGGTGAAGAGTAACTGCAAAATAATTTCTTTAATTTAGATGATAACTTCTTTCATTCATTCCAAGTCATTCTTCAGTTACGTGTAGGTTCTATTGCTAAAAGATTAGTATGTGTTCACTGTAGTAGTCAAATTCTAAAAATGACATGCTTAATGGCATATTCTTTTCTCTGAAACATTCATTACTCGTGACCCAAGAACTGGTTGAATGCCTGTCAAAATTATGGTACTTCCCAACAAAGTAACTTTTCCATCCATTTAACCATTTTTATTAATTTTAATACTGTTTCATCATGCATCACTTTTACTTGATTTCAGATAGACATAAGAATTGACAGAGTTCTGAAGCCAATTAATCTGGCAGATTATTATTTTCCAGGTTATCTAAAAGCACTATTACTTAGATTCTGTTTACTTTACTTCCAGAAGCTGCAATGAAACCTTCACCTTGCAGCTAACGATTTTTTTTCATAGTCTACTAGCATCCCATAAACTTTACTTTTCTCACTTCTTTACTTTGTGGGGTTTGATAATTTCTGTTTTAAAAACATTTCACGCATACTTAGCCTGTACTTCCCCTTAACTTTAGCCTCACAGATGATGAAGTTTCCTTTTTCAATGCAGTATAACATCATCAAACATATCTTATATGGCCCTCTCAACATTTTGCAGATAATTCTGTGAAGGTAATTGGCAAACATCCATTCTTTCTGTTTTGAAATAACCTTATATTATCAAAGATTTGTGATACGCATATTTTCTTTCTAAACAAAGAAAACACTTGGTTTCGATGAAATCGTATTTCACCTTAGTTTTCTAAAATATCTCAAAGTGCCAATTTTCTAAAAACTGCAAACAGCATATATTCACTGCAGATATTGGTCAGTTTTGAGAATAACGATATTTGTAGCATTTGTTTTTCCACTTTCCCACGCATGTTAATTGCTGGTATTGTAGACCGACATCTTTACTCATGTTTATACCAAAATCATCCATCCAAATCAAAAGCTGAAGAGCCAAGAAGCTGTTTCTATCATGACAGTTCACTTGACCAAAGTATTTTTGTGTGGATTTATTAGTACATGATATCTTCTGCTGTAACGTTTGCTTCTTCTGTTTTAGTCTTAATTTTAGGGAAATGAATCCCACTAATGGTTATTAGCAGCAAATTTACTGCATGTGCTGTGGCACTTGCCACACAAAGCCAAAAACAGTCTTCAAACCGTTCTTCTAAGATAATGAACTGAAAGACATTTTCCCGAAAATTGGCAATTCTTTCTGTGTGGTGATGAAGTTTCACAGCAGCCATAAAGCTGGTGACTGCAAGTACTATAAATCCACCTGCAACAAAATGAAAGAAGTATTCACCGTTGTTGTCAAAACAAGGCAGACATCTTGGTTGTGCTTCAGAAGGCTTATTGAATACAACAGTGAGCATTATACAGAGTAGGGATAGACTTAGGCATGGCTTAAACACCTTCAAAATGCTTGGTCTTTGCTGTATGGCCAAAGATCATACCAGTGTTTGTAATAAAGTCTTTTTATCAGTGATAAAAAGCCTAAAGACTGGCATTCATAGCTCCTGTAAAAAGTTGACTAGACACAATAAGCCGAGATGCCACCTGACAGTTCTGTTTTGATAGATGAGAATTCACTGCTAACTTCATTTTATTCACAAGTATTTAAGTCGAGGAGATATTTAGTAAGGGAAGAGAAGGAACTTTTAACATTTTAACATACGAATGTGACTGGTGAAAAATACTGGTAAATGATTTTACCTGCAAGGAAGTTCCAAAGGCATACTCCCGCTGGACCTTTAATAGCCCGGTAAGGAACTTTTATTGCATTAAGAATGCAGAATCCAAAACTGACCAGAGAAAAGAAAATGGCCACGCAGAGGAACATTATAATCATCACGTGCAGGCCTGTATTCAGCTTTTTCACCATGTGTGGGAAAACTGGCAAGAAAAAAAATAATCTATTCAGTGTCTATTTTTTTCTTGACAACAGTAAATATCACACTGTGCTGGTGCTACAAACTTAAATTATACTTAATCAAGACTATTTTTTACACAGGTGAACAATTCAGGTCGTTACACACATCTTAGTTCATGATGCTTTATTTGTCACTATGTCAGACAAACCAGGGATATTCTACTACAGGAATAATCCTCTACACAGGGTCTGTGAATAAGGATTCAGACTTAAGTCCTGTTTTATTTATCTAGTTGTGTTAATGTCTTTATCTCTGCTGCTGCATCGTCTGCTGCATTCTTTACTGTCTCTTTTTCACCTCTGCTCTCCATCCCAAACTCCTTTTTTTGAGCTTACCATTCCTGTTCCGTGCTCTTCATCTCATCCCTTTGAAGTCTGATAGTCCCAGCTTCCTTGTCCAGCCCCTTGCTGCCTAAAATAGTATCACTCCTTTCTGTGTTTATTTTCTCATGTTATTCTTCTTTCTGTCTCTGCCTCTCTTTAATACCGGCTCCAGTGAGATCTACTCTGATTTCATACTTCCTAATCCCACAGGTCTCCACTTTCAGATTCCCTTCTTGGTTTCTCATCTAATGTTTATGCCCCCTTTATGCTCTTCTGGGTATCCGGTAGCATTTTAGTTACATCTGTAAGGAAGCCTGTAAAGTGTTGCAGTCAGGTGGGCTTTAGGTGAAGTGCTCCCATGTTTTGCTATAGGCATGAGCTCTTCCTCAGCAGCTTGTCACTCGCCTGTCTCTAAAGAACGGTAACTCTCTTGTTTTTGTCTTCACAGCCAGAGTTACTCCGTTGGAGGGCCAAACTGGCCAGCAGCAGGGAAGTGTGGAGCGCCTGAGTACTCAATTTATCCTGCAGCCCTTTAGTAACAGAATCAGAAGAAATGTGAGTAGGGAATTGTAGGTGACATGCTGACTAACAGGAAAGAAAGAAGCTGATCGAGAAGAACCCTTCATGTAGCGTAGCACTGCACACTCATACGTGTTTTGAAGAACTAACTGTCTAATTACTGAAAAGTTACTAAAAAGAAGGTACATTATATTATAAACAAATAAATAGGTTGCTTCCTATGCTGCATAACTGAAAAAAAAATCCAAACAAGCCACAGAAAAAGTAGACAGCAATAATTGGTAGATGTCACAGTGAATATCAGGCGTACAATTTGATCATCATGACGTGACAGAATTCTAGTAGATGATGTAGAAAACTTCATACTGTACACATTCCATACAAAAATTCATGATTCAACAGTTCTACCTTTTCAGTAGCTCATTCTGGGGTTGTAGTTGGGTCTGGTACACATGGGAGCTACAGAAGAGACTCCCAACAACAAGAAGGGAAGAGGGAAGTAAATGAGAACTAGAAGTATATAAGGGAAACAGGAAGCCAGAAACTAGCTTGCTTTCTTAACTGGCTGAAGGGCAGGGCTCAAAGCGTTGTAGTGAATGGGGCTACACCGGGCTGGCAACCAGTCACCGGCGGTGTTCCCCAGGGCTCAATTCAAGGGCCAGTTCTGTTCAATACATCTATCAACGATCTGGATGCAGGAGTTGAATGCACCATTAGCAAGTTTGCTGATGATGCCAAACTGGGAGGTGCTGTTGACTCTCTTGAGGGACAAGAGGCCTTGCAGAGGGATCTAGATAGATTGGAGCATTGGACAATCATTAATAGCATGAAATTTAACAAGTCCAAATGCCAGATTCTGCACCTAGTAACGCCGGATCCAGTGACAGGACGCGTGGGAATGGTTCAAAGCTGCATCAGGGGAGGTTCAGACTTGACCCTAGGAAGCATTTTTTTACCGAGAGGGTGGTCAAACACTGGAACAGGTTTTCTAGAGAGGTGGTCAGTGCCCCAAGCCTGTCAATTTTTAAGAGGCATTTGGACAATGTCCTTAACAATATGCTTTAACTTTTGCTCAGCCCTGAATTGGTCGCGCAGTTGGACTATATGACTTGTAGGTCCCTTGCAACTGAAATAGTCTATTCTAAAATAACTGGCAGTGTAACAAGGCACACGGGGAATTTTGCTTTCTTACAAAC